TCGCAATTAAAAAAACAACAAACTGATACCAAGTTACATAGCGGTTGATCACATACTGGAAAAACTTCTAATACGGCCCAAGATTCTCTAATAAACATATAAGAACGATAGCCTGTGGAGCTTACCATAGAGATCTCCTCTCATGTCCGCTTTAGCATCGAACTCATCAATGCTATGCAACCGGAACATATCCTCAGGGAATGCAACTGGTTCGTCATCAAGAAGTGTCAGGATCGTGTTCCAAGAGAAAGACACCGTCACGTTATGATCAGCAACCCGGAAGTACTCCTTGCTAGTGGATCCGTAGAAGTTCCTCAGCTTATAGACACAGCCGGCTCTCAGGTGACGGACATGAGCATCAACACGCCCTGCTGGAATGAAGCCTTGAATAGCAGTACCCTGCCAAGCAAATAAAGTTATCACAATTAAATGCGATATAAATAACAAACAATATGTAAGGAATGAGCAAAGAAAGCAAAGGAAAAAGTTACTACAAACTCCAATATAAACAAACTAATTATTTGATCCATTATAACTCTAATGTAAACCGATAACAACCTGTGAAAATAGCTAACCTAAACTACAAAGAGATATCACTTGCTAAACTATGGTTAATAACTATAGAATACATATGACATAAACGAATGGTCAAAGGAAACAAAGAAGCATAAATAGTAATTCCAAAAATAAACAACCACTCGTTTACCCCACATAGTCTGCAGGTCCATAAATCATTTAAAATGTGAGTCAAAGGAAGATAGCAATAAAATATATATACTACTCTTTCTGATACTTATAATATAGTAAAAAACCAAAACCAAAAAAAAGAAAGACGACTAAATAATGTTCAGAGAAACACTTAAAATATATGAGAGCATCCAAGTTCAAAACCAAACACAACATTATAACTCGCGTCAGGACCAAACTACAAACCGTTGGGGTTAAACTACCAAAAATATAACTATCTTATTTTTTCGTGTCAAGAACAAACAGGCAAACCTGCGTTAAAAAAAACAAAATCGAGTACTCTATACAGTAACAGCCGAGATCTCAACGATCCGACAGAACCAAACCGAAGAGTTCCACTGAAAATGAAAAACAGAGACCAAGCCTATACAACGTTTAAGACAAACCTATATGAGCCTACTCGTTTGATCCATTACAACCGATAACTAAACCGAAATCAATTATCTAAAAATTACAACTTTCAATATAAACGACTTCTCGTTTGATCAACCACAAACGATATCTAAATTAATATATCGTAACGATCCAAACCCAATTGAAAAACAATTATCAAACCGAAAACAATTTTCCAAAAACAAAAACATTGAGTGGAAGGTAAGAAGTCGACCTTCTCATCGATGAGGAGCATCTCCACTCCAATTAACACTTTCGTACGCGTGTTGCGAGCCTCCCAAAAGTGGATGAGGCGAAACATCAACTCAGCTTGGTGGGGACCTTGCTCGATGTCGGCAAACAACATGATGTCCACCAGTCTTTCATTAGAGACAATATCCTTGCCGTGTCGTTTGGTTGAAACGTTGGAGGAGACAGATCCTTGGACGACGGTTTTGGAAGAGGCTACGTTTTTGAGAGCGGGTCGGTGAGGCACTGCGGAGGAGCCGTCGGTGTTGATGACCAAGTTTGGTGTTCTGGAATCTGGACAGTGGCGCTTCGAGTCCGTCGGAGTGGGTGAGACATCGCTCTTCAACACCGTTTTGGGATCGATCACGGAGGAGATGACGACCTTCTTCAAAGACTTAGCGGCGCCGGAGTTGACAGACTGGGATTCCATCGGCGGGTTTTTTTTTATAGAAGATTGTGAAGTAGTGTGAGAGAAGATTAAGAACTGTGATGGGATTTATAAAGAAATCGAGGCCTAAGAAGGTGGAAGGAAACATTGAATGAGCAGAATTGAAAGAAGGATCGTGTGAGAACTCGGTTTCGAAACCGTCTTGAAAGAGAGGATCGAAACAGATAGACGAACATGAATCGTCGAGGGAGAACAACACAGCGGCAACCAAAGAAAACCTAATTCGGCGTAGAAGAGTCGAAGATGAGAAGATTCGCTTTAACGGGCCAAGACCGAAATTTCAGACCCAAACCGATATAAGGCCCATTCGAAGGGAAGACTTGCTGAGCTGGAGGCGACGCAGAACCCTATTGGTCAGAATAAAAAAGCTTACGTGGACACTCTCAAAAGGCTTAAATAAGTCCTTTTAGTTATAGTAGATTTCATTAATAATCAGTGAAGACATTAGAACTGTATAATTTAAGTATAGAAACAACACTATATTACAATTTATCTTTTCAAATAACATAGTAATTAATTTTGGTTCAAATAATATAATCAATTTTATAGTACATATATGACATTCTCTTATCCAGATTCATAAGCTTGTGTGGACACTACAAAAAAGTAGTGAAAGATGTCATTATAAAAACCACATGCGCGCCACCTAGCTGAACATGGTCTTGTTGGATATGGAATTTAGCCCACAAAATTATTTTTAGCAAATTCATACCAATTTTCTGCATAATATTTTTGATAAATCCTAACATATTGTGACTAAAATGTGTCGAGATAATATCGGAATATACCCTCAACTCGCACGATAAACTTGAATATTCTTTCCCTTTATTGTTATAAGCTTATTTTGTCGGTTAATCTTCCTTTCCATATAAATATACACCATATTTCTCCATGAATCATACGATTTATAACTTAAAATATAACTGTGAACAAAATCCCTAGTCTTAGCATCTCTAAAAAGACACTCTATTTTAAAGTTTTCAAAATTCTATATTTGAAGTTTCAAGGTGTTCTTCTCCAAAAGAAAACTTCAAATTTAACTTCAAAATTATTTCTATTTTACATTTTGATCCTTATATTTGTCATAGTTAATATAAATTCATAAAACATTGATAAATAACATACACATATATATAAATTATACAACAATATTAATTAATAAAATCTTACACTAAAATATAAAATTATAAATACAAACACATGATTATTACAAATTGAATACCACATTTTTGTTGTCTAACTTTAATTAAAAATATTTAAAAATACTAAACTACAAGCAACTATTTTAAAATTTATTATAAATTTTTATTTAGTTTTATGTCTAAAACTTAAATTTATAAAAGGTAAATTTTAATTTGAAATATTTATGAGATTTAAAAAGTTTTATTGATTAAAAAAATAAACAAAAAATATTTATGAATTCTAATTTTTATTTGTAATTGTAAGGACCAAAATGCAATTAAAAAGATGAAACTTCAAATTTAGAGTTTTGAGTATTGAAACTTCAAATATAGAGTTTCACTCTTAAAAACTTCAAATTTGAAGTTTTGAGGTTTCTTTTTGGAGAGCAAAAAACTCTATATTTGAAGTTATAGAGTTTCTTTTGGAGATGCTCTTAGAGTAAGTATCAAAAGTATTCATAAATTAGAGTTTAGATTCTGTTTTAGGTGCTACGTAACAGTCTCATCACAATTATATCACAAAATTCAAAAATTGCACATAACCATCACACATCATGGACAATTTATGAAGGGAAGAAATTATATCAAATCTCGACTCAATCTCGACTTCATGAATTTATCTATTTTTTATAATTTCCTAAACGTTTTTTGTGTTTATTAACAAAAAACAAAAAAAAACAACATCGTTCCTTCTAAAGCCAAGAACGAGGTGGATTAATCATTTTCATTTCAAAACTATAAATGGACGTTGCCATAATGATATAGAATGAAAACGCTTCGTATTTCCCTCACACGTTGGAAGATGGGAAAATATTATAAACTTTTCGTTTTCCCTTCCAGAAAACTGAGCCTATTTAAATAGATAGTTGAACAAAAAATATTAAACTCAAGATATCAAAGTTGTTTCTTTCAAAAAGAGATAAACATGTCGTATAGTACTGAGATTGATCCTCATGTAAGAAGAGTGACGTTACAGAAACAAAGCGAAATAAGGATCCAAGTGCCCCAGATGTGGCCGCCTCTCAAACTACGTGTGCTTGATGGCAAACTTGAGATTTTTGGTTCCGAGCTTCCACGAAACGTCTGGCTCACGTTTCCTCCTCTCCAGCAGTTCGCCGTATGTTAAACTCTTTCTTTAACAACAAGTTTTCATTTTCTTTTTAGTTATGGTTCTTGAAATTCTTTCATGTTCGTTCTCTTTCCTGTTGTTATTTATAATGATGATATTGATAGAGTTACATTTTCATAGTAACTAGGTTGGCGTCACAAGTTTTTTTTTTTGACATGATGAGATGTGATCTGACTACCATCTATATATCATGATCAATAGAAATAGGTTTTGTCAAATAAAAGTCTATCTACTATATGTTTACGTTTTTTAATACATAATAAACTCTTTCTTTAACTTAAGTTTCAACAACCAGTTTTCAATATCTATTTACATATGAGTTCATTAGTTTCTGTCACAATTAACAAGTTCTTTTTGACATGATGAGATGTGATCTATCATCTATATATCATCAATAGGAATAGGTAGTCTCAAATAAAAGTCTATATACTATATGTTTACGTTTTTAATACATAATCAACTCTTTATGTAACTTCAAGTTGTAACAACCAGTTTTCAAATATCTATTTACATATGGGGGTATTAGTTTCTCTCACAATTATCATCTGCCTGTGTAGGTTAGCAGAAAGGTTTGAATTTTAGGTAGTTTTTGTCGAAAAGTTAGTTGCATAGTAAGTAATGCAAGCTAAAGGCGTTCGCTTTTCAGGTCTTCACGTGGTATGGTGCAACAATCGAAATAGATGGTGTCACAGAAACTGACACTATTTCTGATGAGGTAAGGTTATGGTTTCATCCACAATTTTTGTTCATAGTTTAGCAGTAGTATATATTTATACTAATATTCCCCCATTGTAGACACCTATGCTAAGCTATCTTAGCGTGCACAATTCTCTACAAGTACAAAGACATCGGGTTACGTCCCAAACAAGAGTCTCTGTTTCTTCACAGGTGCTTTTATTTTTCCATACGAAAGATCTAAATATATCCATGTAGCAACTTTAAGTTGTGGTTTTATTTTTGTGCGGTCTTGCTTGATGCAGGGACCAAGGGTTATCATTGTAGGCGACATTGACTCTGGGAAGAGCACATTAGCTAAGATGCTTCTTAGTTGGGCAGCAAAAGATGGTTGCAAACCAACCTTTGTTGATCTTAATATCGGACAAAGTTCGATAACCATACCAGGAACTATTGCTGCTACATCTGTTGAAATGCCTGTGGATCCTGTTGATGGACTACCTCTTCATAAGGCCCTTGTGCACTATTTTGGTCACACCACACCGACGTAATTGACCTCAAATTCTGAGTTTTCAGGTCTAAATGACCTTAACTTGAAACTCATATTCTTTATTTATTCTTTTTGTACTCTCAGCAACAACCTTAGGTTGTACAAATACCTTGTTGAAGAGCTTGCTCGAGAATTAGAAGAAGAGTTTGCTGTAAACGCTGAATCACGATGTTCTGGTATGGTGATTGACACAATGGGATGGACAAAAGGTCTTGGTTATCAGGTATATTTTAGTTTCTGTTTTTCAAAAAGAGATTATGTTCGCTATGAACCGCATACTAATTTGCTAGCCTTATTGCAGCTGCTTCTCCATGCAATAAGGACTTTTGATGCATCTCTAGTCATCGTCCTTGGTCAAGTAAAATATCAATGCTCTTTTCTCTGGCGTTAGAGTAATACAAGAAACCTATATTGCCCTTCATTAATTTTTGCCATTTGCAGGAAACAGAACTTGTCTATGATCTGAACAAAGCTTTCAAATTCAAGAAGAACGTACAAATCTTGAATCTCGAGAGGTCATCCGGTGTTTTCTCCAGGCATTCTGATTTTCGCAAAATATTGAGGAACTATAGCATTCAGGTAAATTATTTTTAGCTCTGGCGATTTCTTTATTTGAGTTACTTTCTATATATGTTTGAGTATAGGAAAGGGATTTTGCTATTCTTAATCACAGAAATATTTCAATGGAGCAACAAACAATCTCACGGCCTACACCAAAACCGCTAAGTTCAGTGATATGCAAGTATATCGTATTGGTTCGTTGATAGAGAAGTCAAGCTCTTCTAAAGCTTTGCAGATCACAGCTGCGTCGATTGACAAAGATCTTATAAATACAGTTCTGGCTATCTCATACGCCAAACAGCCTCATCATATTATCTCAAGGTAATCTCTTACTTTGTATGATTAAACCCAAGGTAGGGATTGAGTAACGGTTAAGTTCTGCAGTAATTGTTTATCCGCATTTTTGCAGCATTGTTGCTGGATTTGTGTATATTGCGGATGTTGATCTTGGTGAAGGGATAGTTACGTATCTCTCTCCATCCGTTGCTGAACTGCCTAGCAAAATATTTATCATGGGGACTTTGACATGGTACAAATCTTGAGTAGCAAGAAATTAAAGAGAAGAGTAAGGAGTTACGTTTACTAAAAATGGGAAAAGGCGTAAGCACAACATTTGAAAAGGGGATGATTTTAGTTATGAAGTCCTATTAAGATGCTCAGTTTTATTCTTATATATTATGGTTTCTTAATGTATTGGAAGTTTAAAAGATGTATCTCCCACATATTTAAAAGGGATAATTTTTAGAATATCGTTTTTGCCAACAACTTTTCATGTGTATATTTACAATGCCAATGAAAATAATAACCAAATTTTGTGATAATAGGAAAAAACAAGAAAGGAGACAAAAAAAAATATATATGAAGAAATGATAATAAATATGTATGGTGTGTTCTTAGTTCTTTTATATTCATATGTACTTAATATTTATTTATTTTTCAAGATACATGTATTTTACACATTACTATAAATGTGGACTTATTAATTTTATGTATTTTTAAAACACAAGATAAATTGAGTAAAGAATATATATACAAAAATGACCAGTTCTAAAATTGATAAGGTGAAAATTAACATAAAATGAAAGTAAGACAACATTATTTAAAAAACAATAGTATATTTTCTTGGTAGAATAAACCTTTATGATAATAAAGCTTTAACAATTTTTATACAAATAAAAATATTTATTTTGATTTAATATTGAATATCACGTTAATATTAAGTATATATGTAAAATACTACGTTATTTAAAAATTATATTTTTCTTATATATAATTAGTTAATAATATTTACTTAAAATATGTATGTATTAAAGTAATTTTAAAATTAAATGAAAATAATAATTTTAATAGATATCTAACCTAATTTTAATAAAAATGATCAGATGAGTTAGTTTTTATAAGATAGTGTGATGATCGAAGATAATTTAAAGATGAATTTGCTTTTAGACTAATTTTGGGTTTTCTGTTAAATATTAAATAAATAAAATGAGTAAGAAAGAGTCATTTGTGATTTGAGAAAAATTACAAAAATTTCATAACCATTTTCCATATAAGTAAAATAAAATAGTAGACAAAAAATGCAAAGAATAGAAGATGTTATAAATTATTTTTTTGTTCAATATTCTTTGGTTTTGTGTTAATCGCAAATTATGTGCAGAGATCTTTGGAAACTTAAACTAAAATTAATAGAATTACCAATATATCTCAAAACTCTTTCTAAGATTTATATAATATCAAGTTTTTGATATCTAGACTATTTAAAGTTAAAAGGTTCTTTTAAATAATATTTATGATTGTCATTCAAAATTATAAACAAAGAAAATATATAACTTTCATACAATATTTATTATAATGCCCCGACCGTCTACGGCTAATGGCCACCCACGCCCACTCACTTGGTCCGTAGACTTCATCATGTAATGTTCGGTCCGTTAATTATTTCAAATCCCGAAAGTCTTGTTTAGTCACCCTGCAATCACCATCCGACTATTCCCAACGACCTTTCCCCATATTTTTATCTCACTCGCATGGTAGCGTGAATAACTTTTCGATAGGTCATGATGCGCCCTTGAGTAGCGCACCGGGCAAAACAGACATGCATGGCTTGATCATGGGAAGCAGTAATGATATATGTTCATTGTTTGACTCATATCTTCCAAACCACGAGGCTTATATGCATGAAGTCACTTGTAGAATGTATTCAACTCAATTACAGAGCTCTTTGAAGAAGAGTTCGATCAAACAGAGTTCAGATGTTGAAGTTATGCAATTTACAAATCAGGTGGTCTTCAGTTCCACGAATTCGAGCTGTACGGGTCGTCCAGCCCACATCCTGATCCTTACCACCATGGACCAAAACGACCAGAATGAACCTGGACAGTAGGTGAAGGGTTTCTTTGACCAGTCTTCATCAGAATCTGCACACTTTGACTGACCTTCAACATTCTACTTAAAGTTTCTATTTTCTTTGTATTGTTTTCACACAATTTCCTTTATTCTCTTTGATTACAAAGTAGTATAAAAGAAGTTAAGAATATTTGGCTGTCTATGCTTCCCTTGGCTCATGCCGGTACTGCACATAAACTTGAAGATCAGTATGAACCGTGTGTATTTATGGGTTATTCACTGACTCAGAGTGCATATTTGTGCTTTGATCCTCTCATTTAAAGAATGTATACATCCATACATGTTCAGTTTGATGAATATACCTTCCCATTCAGATGTATGAAAACCGCTAAGCAAGAGTTCAAAACCTGAGGAGGCACAAACTACAACTTCTCCTACATTCACTAAAATTCAACTTGTACTACCTTTGCGCCTTAAAGCTCAGGCTCACCTGCCATCATCACCTGCACTGTCTACTGCAACATAATGTCAGGTACTGCCTTCTTCAAACTCTCCTCTATCTACTTCTTTATCTTCTCTACTTCTCTTTCTCTCAGCCCCACTAGCTAACCTAATCTCCCAAATCACCCAAATATACCAGCCCAGCCTACCCTCATCACCGAAAGGCTCACTAGCCCAAGCCAAGTTTCAAATAATCAGGCCACTTCACAACAACTTAAATCTACCACCCAAAGACCCACTGATCATTCAACAAACCCAACACAATAGGTTACAATATCACCGACTCAAACACCACAAAATATCCATCAAATGAGAATCAAAGTTAAAAATCAGATCTCAAAACCCAAGAACAAGTTCAACCTCACAACATAATCATGTTTATTAGCTCCAGAACCCTCATCTTATCTTCAAGCACTCAAAGATGAACGTTGGAAAAATGCCATGTCTGTTGAAATTACAGGACAGATATAGAAAGACACTTGAGAACTAATTCCTGCATCACCTTTTCAAAACGATGTCGGATGTCACTGGGTCTACAAGACTTAGCTTCTTCCCAATGGTCTTCCTGATAAAATAAAGCACGTCTGGTGGCTAAAGGGAATCATCAGCAGTATGGTATTGACTACAAAAAGACATGCAGTCCAGTCATAAAATCCACAACCATACAACTTGTTCTCCGTCGAGCAGTTATCAATCTTGGTCAATACGGAAATTTGATGTGAACCAGGGTTTTCTCCATATTACATTAGATGAAGAGGTATATATTGAACAGCCCCATGGCTTGGTGGACCCCGATAGACCTGATCATGTTTTTTGTGCCTGGACATGGAGCTCAAGAAGTTTCTTATACAATCTGGCTTCACCAACAGTTTTTCAGATGCGTTGTTGCTTGTTTTCTCAAGTGGTAACATCTTTGTCTACGTATTAGTTTATGTAGACGACATTATTGTCACAAGGAACAATGCTGCTGCCATCTCTCAGATCATCACAACTCTAGGCGAACGTTTCTCTCTTCAAGATCAAGGTGATATAAACTAATTCTTAGGCATTGAATTTTCGTGTACTAAGAAAGGCCCTCACCTTATGCCACAGAAATATATTCTTAATCGTTTGGCTAAGAAAAATATGCTTTCTGGGAAAACTGTTGCGACACCTATGCAAACGAATCTGAAGCTTTCTCTTCACTCTGGTATTGTGCTTGACACTACAACGGAACACATGATGGTTGTTGGTAGTCTTCAATACCTCTCATTCAATCGACCTGACATTTCGTTTGCGGTTAATCTGCTCTCACAGGTCATGCATCGTCCAACGGATGAGCACTAGCAAGCCAAAAAGAGAGTACTTTGTTGCCTAGCAGGGATAACAATGCATGGCATTCTTGTACAGTCGCACAATCCGCATATTATTCATGCTTTACAGATGCTTACTGGGCTGGTGACGTTGATTACTATGTTTCTACTAATGCGTATGTCATCTTTCTTGGAAAGCAGCCCATCTCCTGGTCTACAAATAAACAAAATTGTGTAGCTAGATCATCAACTGAGGCTGAGTACCATGCCATTGCAAATGCAGCTTCTGAAGTTCGATAGATATGCAATATTCTCTCTGATCTTAAGATTATTTTACCCTCAGCACAAGTCATCCACTGTGACAATGTAGGAGCTACTTACTTGAGTGAAAACCCGGTTTTTTCATTCTCGCATGAAGCACATTGCATTGAATTATCACTACATAAGAGGACAGGTTCAATCCAGATCACTTCGAGTCTCACATGTTTCATCAAAGGATCAACTTGCCGACGCTCTGAAAAAACCATTACCAATACTCTGTTTTACTACTTACTATATCTGTCTCTACACTAGTTCTATATATTGTAACCTTGTCAATCAATAATATTTTAACCTTCATATCCTTTAAAAGGAGAGGTAGAGGCTGCATTTAACAAGATAAGGCTGATTATCTCCATGTAAGATAATAAGAAGAAATTCAAGGCCAAAGACCACCTCCAGACAATTGACATAAATATATAAAGAGAAGCATACAATGCAAACTTGACTTTACAAGACTTCAATAAACTTCACATGACTTTAGCTATGATCCAGATTGATGCGAATGCTTTTCCTTGGCCAAAACTTTGGTTTCCTAGACCTAAACACTTTTAAAATAATTCTAAGGTCATCGAAGATAATAACTTAAATCAGATTTTCGAGATTTCTAACACGATTTAAGCCAAACCGCGAGCATTTTTGACCCGTTAAATTCCAAAGAATCTTCTCCAACCATTACATCTAACAAACCTCAACTTCAAATGGAAGCACCTCTCAAACAGCTTTACTTGGCCTTCCATACTATGCTGTCTGTTTGTTCTCTCCACATCACTTACAGTCTTTCCATTTTAGCATTTTGCAAGCATTTCCAAACTATCAAAGAAGCCGTTTTTCGACAAATGCAATTGATAAATGAGAAAATTACTAGAATAGTGTAGAAAAGTTGGTATATAACTAGAATGATATACATTTTCTAAAATTACTATAATGTTTTCAGACCCTTAAGAAATTACAATAAAGACCCTTGTTTAATTTTTTTTTAGATTAATTTTAATTATCAAATCCACATTACTAATTAGGCAATCCACGTCATTAACTTTTGAGACACAGGAAAATCAGCCGTCTCCATATTTCCGGTGAGTAGG